TATAATTTCAACACAGATAAAAAGAAATTTTTTAATATGCTGGAGGTATTCTTATCCATAATTTTCTATTCCCTAATTATCTAAGGGAAAATAATCTTATCAATAGGGGGAATTTTTCTATCTGAAAATCTAGAAGACCTTGTAATTGGTTTCATATTTGGCTTAATAATAAGGACGATATTGAGTCCTGGGTTTCTACCAAGACTAAAAAAAATATTATGCCTGGGGTTCATAATCTAAATGAGATTAATAATTATCAAAATTATTCTAAAATAAATAAGAGAAGACTCTTTTATTTCCCAATTTATCAAAATAAAGACCCAAATAAAAAATTAGAAAATTAAGCCCTTCTTTTTTATTGGATGGGAATGAATGAAGAAATACAAAGCCATCCTATATTAAAGCATTTTTTTTTACCACCGCACAAAGAAAAGATTTTCTTAATGAACAAGATATTGAGAGATTGTTAAAGAAATGATTTTAACGTAGACTCATTAATGAATCAAAAATATAAAAAATTGAATTTTCAAAACGCTTATTTTTTCTTGTATAAATCTATCAATAGGAAGGATAACAAAGGTAAAAAGGATTCATACATTTATAGGTCATCATTACAAGTAAATAATGGTGAATAAATTTTTTATAATTTCAACGCAAATAAAAAGAAATTTTTTAATATGCTGGGAGGTATCCATATCCGCAATTTTCTATTCTCTAATTATTTAGGGAAAAATAATATTATCAATAAGGAGAATTTTTTTATCTAAAAATCTAAAATATTTTGTGATTGGTTTCATATTTGGCTTAAAAATAAGGACGATATTGAATCCTGGGTTTCTACCAAGACTAATAAAAATATTATGCCTGAGATTAATAATCTAAATGAGGTTAATAATTATCAAAATTATTCTAAAATAAATAAGAAAAGACTCTTTTATTTCCCAATTTAATTATCAAAACAAAGACCCAAACAAAAAAACGAGAAAATCCCTTCTTTTTTATTGGATGGGAATGAATGAAGAAATACAAAGCCGTCCTATATTAAAGCATGTTTTTTTTTACCAACGCACAAAGAAAAGAGTTTCTTAATGAACAAGATATTGAGAAATTGTTCACGTATGTCAAATCATAATTCTTGGCCATAAAAGGGGAATACTTTGTCACAATGGGAGTAGGTTTCAATTTTTTCAAATGAACGATTTGAAGACCTATTGATTGTAACAACCGATTACAGGATTGATCATTCGGACCTTTCAAATCAAAGATGTGGATTTCAGACTTATCCATGGGAATATTCTTGAAACTCATAAAAAAAAATTTTATTTAATTGTAATAAAAGGGTTTAGACTAAAGGTATATTAAAAATATTTTTTATTATAAATTTATATTAAAAAATAAAAATTAATTTTTAATTTATTAATTATTTAATTAAATTTTT